TGGTTTCTACCCACCCCCATTAGCAGGCCATTTTTCTGCTCTGTTTAGAGCAAAATTTAGCAAAGCTTCTGAAAACCAAGTAAAACTGAAATGGAATTGGTAATTTAACTTGGTTGTGGGATCATGATGTGAAATGCCTTTAATTACAGAGACAATGATTAACTACCACCATAATACTGTTATGTCTTAGAGTGATAATGATTAATAAACATTTGTATCAATATTAGGAAATACCAGAATCAATAACGATCTTCATTTTTGGATTTGGATGCTCTATTTAAAAACTGGTCATGTTATAAATAGGATTTTGTTGTGGGTTTTTTCTTCTTCTTCTTCTTCAAATTTCTGATTTAGACAAAGCTTATCAGGAGCTTTTTCTGTCACATTCTGCTTCAGCCATACAGTCAAATCCAGAAACCAACTCATACTTACACATATATGCAATATCCTTAAACCAAGTATTGCAAACTGCTGCAATGCAGTCTGATTCATGAGGAAATAGCTTTAATCAATAATCTAGAGCTGAGTCAGCAGAACAGCAGCATGCAAAGTTTTCAATTCATGCAAATAAAAGAGACTTCTCATGATAAAATGCTGCGTATTTTTCATCATTTCAGAAATGCTCTCCGGAAAACCAAATAATTTTTAGCAAGGAGGTTTATTAAACTGGGAGGAGCATCACACTATCAAGATAGATGAGCCCAGTATCAATGGCAATCTAAGGCAATGTGTGTCACTGCATGCAGTATTTTAGATAACAGCTTTCACTGTCAAACTGCTCTTACAGTTTGGAAACTTTTCTAGTGGGTTTTTCTTCTTGTGCACCAAGATAGAGAGTAAAGCAGGAGGAAGAAAGAGAAAGAGAAAGGGTGGCTGCCATCTCATTCTGCACCTTCTGCCTGCACATTGTAATCAAATTTTTTAAAAAAAATAGTTTTAACAGTATTGATTGCAGATTTACTCTGCACTTTAATCTTTAACATACTGAATAGTGTGATACTGGTCTCTGTGTCACAATCTTTTCTTTTAAAGCATTTTGAAGAAAAGATTGTGATACAGAGATTTTGAAGAAAAAGTAAAAATATAGAATAATTATATTGGTACTTAGAGCTTCCATTGCACAAAGTACAATTACCTGGTAAGTAAGATGGATTTAACTTTTCAAACTTTCAAGCTTATCATTAAGCTTTAATCCTAGTTTTGGTCACTGGCTGGAATAAGAAACTTCAATATTCAGCTCTTCTTTGGGCTCATCTTGAGAGATCTCATTTGATCTCATTGAAATATTGGCAAATAGTGGGAGCAGTGTCTATGCAGTGATTAATTACAATGCCTACATTCAATCCTGAAAGATATGTATAGAAAATATTGCAGAGATAATATTAAATATTTACCCATTCAAAGCTACACGAAGCCAATGGGTACAGTCAGCATTGATTCATGGTATCATGATGATACCCAATGCTGCATTGCAACCTCATCCCATCATCAAATAGGAAATGCTATTAGTGTTTTGTTACAGTATCTGAAGACTGTTGGGAATTAGGCAGGATGAAATAGACTAAAAGTGAATCCCAGCAAGGTAAAGTTGCACTTTATCGATTCAGATACTGTGACTAGTCCAATGTTGACTTTGAAAGAAAGTCCCTGAATTGGGGGTCCTTCTGAACTCAATGCTCCTTCTTGAAAGATAGGTGGACAATTTCGCCAGCTAGCTGGTAACCATTTATGGACCTTCCTAGAGCAAGAGGATATCTTAACTCATGCTCCATCACCACTAGTTTGGACCAATGCATTTTATTTGGCGATGCCTTTGAAGACTTCTTAGAAGATTCAATTAATCCAGAATGCAGCATCCAGCTATTAGCCAGTAATGAAGTTAGAAGGGACCTTGGAGGACTTCTAGTCCAACCCCCTACTTAGGCAGGAAACCCTACACCACTTGAGATGAATGGTTATCCAATGTCGTCTTAAAAACTTCCAGTGTTGGAGCATTCACAACTTCTCGAGACAAGTTGTTCCAATGGTTAATTGTTCTAACTGTCAGGAAATTTCTCCTTAGTTCTAGGTTGCTTCTCTCCTTGATTAGTTTCCACCCACTGCTTCTTGTCCTGCCCTCAGGTGCTTCGGACAATAGCTTGACTCCATCTTCTTTGTGGCAGCTCCTGAGATATTGGAACACTGCTATCATGTTTCCCCTAGTCCTTCTTTTCATTAAACTAGACATACCCAGTTCCTGCAACCATTCTTCATGTTTTAGCCTCCAATCCCCTAATCATCTTTGTTGCTCTCTCTGCACTTTTTAGAGTCTCAACATCTTCTTTACATCATGGCGACGAAAACTGGATGCAGTATTCCAAGTGTGGCCTTACCAAGGCAGTATAAAATAGTATTAACACTTCACATCATCTTGATTCTATCCCTCTTGCTTATGCAGCCTAGAACTGTGTTGGCTTTTTTGGCAGCTGCTGCCCACTACTGGCTCATATTTAAATGGTTGTCCACTAGGACTCCAAGATCCCTCTCACAATTACTACTATTGAGCTAGGTACCACATATACAGTACCTGTATATTTTGTTTTTCTTGCCTAAATGTAGAACCTTATTTTTTTCACCATTGAATTTCATTTTGTTAGATAGCGCCCAATGTTCAAGTCTGTCAAGATTCTTCTGTATCTTAAGCCTATCTTCCAGAGTGTTGGCTATTCCTGCTACCTTGATGTCATCTGATGAGTCCCCCATCTATCCCCTCATCCAAATCATTGATGAAGATGTTGAAGAGTACTGGGCCTAGCGGTACCCCACTGCATACTTCCCTCCATGTAGGTGCAGTTCCATTGAGGATTACACGTTGAGTGCGGTTGGTCACCCAGTTTCAAATCCATCTGCTGGTAATGCTGTCTAACCCACATTTTTTCTGTTTTATCTAGTAGTAGATTATGGTCTACTTTATCAAATGCCTTACTGAAGTCAAGTAAATTGTATCGACAGCATTCCTCTGGTCCACTCATTTTGTCACTTTGTCAAAGAATGCAATAAGATTAGTCTGGCACTTGACAAACCCATGTTGGTTTTTGGTTATTACTTTGTTTGCTTCTAGGTATTCACTGATCATCATCAGGAATATTGTATAGGTGCTATGAATGCTATATGGCTCCCTATTAACTTCTGGATAAAATTCAAAGTTACCATGTGATTGCCATTTATAAAATCTAAAAGACTTGTCACACCTGACTTTTCTCTAACAGAAAATAATATTGATGATCATCAATTTCCATGATAAATAAGATTCAGGGGCTTAAAGGGGCTGAATTTCAGAACTGGTTACTTATCAGTGGAATAGTAAATAATAAAATATTACTACTTATGATAGTAAAATTGCGTTCAATATTTTGGTTTTGTAATTTAAATATTTTTGAAAATCAAACTGTTCAGAGGAATCTATGACTAGCATTAGGATGCCCAATTTAGTTATTGGTTGATTTTTTGGTTTTATACTTTAATTAGTAACCATACTGTAGAATGTAGATACATTATTACTGCAATCTGCCAAGTATCTGGCAATACATTTTATAAATAAATAAACATAACACCATTTTTGTACCTGCTGCATTAGTTACTAAAAGTGTAAATACAAAGTACTGGTTTTAATCTATGAACCTCTTCATCACCTGTTTACTAGGTATTTTGAGGAATCGTTCCTTCAAATAAACCAGCTCATCTCATGATGAGGTTCCCCTTCTTTTTGAGGGTCTGAAGGCTCTCATTGCATTATTTCTCTACTGTAATCTCATTATTTTGAAACAGGCTTCCTTCCCTAAGAGGTTATTGCCCAAACTGATGCCATTTAGTAAGGCTATTAAAATAATCCTATTCCAAAGAACCTTTGTTACTTTCACCAGTGGGATTGGGCACATATTTGTTTTAACTGTTTTAAAATCTGTTTATTATTCTTATGCTACAAACCATACTGAAATACTGTAGAGAGGCACAGAAGAGCTATCATAAATCACTAAATTAACTGAAATCAAACAGAAGAATCTTATACCAGTAGAACCTTGCTCTTCAGCAGTTTCTTCTAACCCACTGGAGATTTTTAGGGATGGTAGCAGGAGAAAAAGTAAGATCGGTTATATATGCCACTACCACTCACATTACTAGGTTCAAATTTGCTTTTTCTGAATGAGCATGAATTCAGCATGAGCAGTGTGCTTTTTTAAAAAACTAAAAACAATCTTCTATAAAAGTTGTTAATGGGATAAAAGGATGAACAATTTACAGTGTTCTCTTTTTTTAGTACTGATATAAGTAACTGATAAAGAGACAAGACATATGCAAAGTAATATTTTATTTTGAAATCATATGTAATAACTCTTTGGCAATTCAGTTTTCATCTCAACAAATAGGTATGTTAAAGTGACAGCACTGCAGACATGAATAATACAACGGTGCCCTTGAGCATACTGGCAGTAATAAAAAATAAAGGTTTCCCTGTCAGTCATGGCCGACTCTAGGGCACAGTGGTCATCTCCATTTCTTGACTGAAGGAGCCAGCATTGTCCAAAGACAATTTCCGTGGTCATGTGGCCAGCAGGGATATATGCCAAAGGCACACAGAATGCTGTACATACAGCGTTCAGTGTGCCTTTGGCATGTACAGACTGGCAAAATAAAAATACACAAATACACCGATTGGCAGCATATAAATGAAAGTAATAAAAAGTGTAAAAATATTATGATACTGATAGAAGAAATATTTATAGCTCAGGTTTGGTGGAGTCCTTGGTGCTTTCTGAGTTTGGTTGTTTTATTGCAGGCATTTCATTACCAAACTAAGTAACATCATCAGTGCACTGTTGATGTTGCCTAGTTTGGTAATGAAACGTCTGCAAGAAAACAACCAAGCGCAGAGAGCACCAAGGACACCCACAAAAATATAATAGTTTTTTTTTTAAATCTGTTACAATAACAGAAAAAGAAATAGAAAAGACATCACTTACAGGTCGGACTTCACCATTAGTATTGGTATACTGCCGGGCCAGACCAAAGTCTAACATATAACATTTCCTGTAGGTTGAAGGCAGGCGTCCCATGGCAAAATTAGACTAAAGAGGAGCAACACAATAAGAAGATATGTTAATATATCAGTATCTCTTCACAGGTGATAAAGCCACTATCCAAAATCTGTTCCAGTTACTATTTTTATCGTATTTCCCATTATCAATCATGTTGCTGTTACATCTGTGATTAAACAAAGTTCTTGTATTTACTTCAGGAGGTTCCTGACAGACTAATATACCAATCTCAATTCAATCTCTGTTTCTAGTCATCTGAAAGTAGAACCTGTTGCCCTTCTATAATTTGTTCCAATTTCTCTAAACCCATTTTAAAATCTAATATCCAAACTGAATATAACATTTGAAGGGGGGCCCCAAGTGAAGCAGAATAAACTGATTTAATTATGTAGGAATCAACCTTGTATATCATATTTCTTGCAGATGCATTACATTATTAATTCATACTCAGTTTATAATCATTCCAAGATTTTTTCATAACTTTTTGCCAATGCAGTTCTTCTGTAATTATACATTTATGTATGTTTCCTATTGTCATATTTTTGTCTGTTGAATCTGATAATATCATTCTAAACCCATTTTTCTTCCAATATCAGCTTGTATTTTATTTCTAGCTCCTAGAATGTTAGCTATATATGCCGTTTTCGTCTGATTCCAACGACTGAGTGAAAAAGACTGTGCATGCGGAGACGGGGTAGGCGTGACCCCGGCTGCAGAGGAAAATGATTGGCACTCAGTCAGACCAATAGGAGTGAGGAGAACCCATGCGTAGGAATGTCAGAGCAGCGAGTCAGGGAAACACACTGATATTTTGCTATTGTTTGCTAAGAGGGGAAGAGTTCCCTTTTCCTTTTAAAATTTTTACATTAATATTATATATGTGTACAATAATACAAGATTATGTGGGAATGCATACAAAAGTCTATGCATAAGAAAAATGAGGTTTGAAAGCACATGAGAAGGTGAACAGTATGCAGTTGGGCATGCAATCACTGTTAAATGTACTCTTGAAAACCAGACTTGGTAAAAGTATGTTTTCATCCCCAAAAGACCCTGGATTTTCAACAGTGCCTAGAGCAAAAGGAAGGATATCAATCCAACTCCTGCAAGAAATAAATATACACACAAACTTAGGAGTTTAAGAGGTCAGCTGGAGAAAGTGTTACTGGTATAAATAGAGCTTGTCTGGTATAATGGTTAATGTGTTAACCTAGAAACTGGAAGGCTGAGTTCTAGCCCTCACTTAGGCATGGACCTGTGTCACTCTCTCTCAGTCCAATCCACCTCACAGGGGACAATGAGATGGCAGCATTATGTACATTGCTTGAGGTTATATAAAAATAAATGGATATAAATCTAATAAATATTGTTTCAGTTTTCTCAAAATTTAAGTACTAGGAATAATTCTGAAATTCTTATCTGAATTTGAATTCCCTCTATTGAAGAGGGAATCATAGAAGGAATCCTCTTAGAAAGCCCTAGCCAATTTCACAAGAATATTTTCATTTTTTAATAAAACTAACAATTTAGTCCCCCAACCAGGGTTGTAGTATAGCTATTACTGTCTTTTTTGTTACTGATCTTTTTACATATGCATATTCTCATTTATTGATATAAAAAGTGATCACAAAACATGAAATGATAAAATGTCTTTGCAACTTGGAACTAGTTAAATACACAGGCCCATGTTGTAAGTGAGGCCTTACCTATCCCAAAACATAAAGTCATGGTTTTATGCGCTTCTCTCTCTAAAATTCATGCAATGCCCCTGAGAGGTATGTTTTCCAACTGCAAGGAGAATTGTTCTTAATAAACATCAATGCCAGGTAAAGCAAACTATGCAGAGAAGGTCAGCCACCAGACTCTACTTACAGGCTTGATATCTCGATGCAAGAATCCCACTGAGTGAATGGCTTCTATGGATTCTAAGATCTGCTTGCCTAATCGAAGAGTTGTGCTCAGTGTAAAAGTTCCTCGAGGCTGGCTTCTTCTGAGGTCTGCAAGATTCCGGCCCTGAAAATAAATGAATATCAGATATCTATACCAGATTTTATCAGCAGATATTATTTAATCCACCAGATGGAAAGAAAAAAATGATGTTCTGCTTGGATCAATTATGTTTATGTCAAAGAGATTCTTCTTGGCTCATTTTGACAAACAATCATCTGAAGATATAGCTGCAAGTTCTGTCTTCTGTTCAATCAATGCTGGTCTTCATTTGTAAGGAAAACAAATCTGTTAAGGAAGAACAACTGAACTATGTCTTTTGGCTATCAGCATTAAGTCTGTCCATCCAAAGGTGGACGGGTAAGCAATTTCATTAAGTTAAAAATCAGTTTAAGACAAAAGTCCGATTTTTCTCTTCTATCTGCTGAAAAATGAAATAAGCATACCAAGAGTCAGTTGGCAACTCCATAACCAGCAATTTTGGAGACACAAATAGCAACAATGAAATTTGAAAGGAGTGGGGGATTTTCCTCTATTGCCCCAGAATCAATGGGTGAAAATTAGAAAAATGAAGATTCAGGCTAGACATCAGGAAGAAGTTCTTGACTATATAAGTTGTCAGTCAACCACTAGAGGTCTTCAACAGAGGTTGGATAGCCATTTGTCAAGGAAGCTGTAGTAGGTCCTCCATGGAATGAACTAGATCAGCGGTCACCAACCAGTGGTCCACAGACCACTGGTGGTCCACGAGAAAATTTCGATGGACCACAGAAAAATTATTTGCATTTTTTATATTGTACTAGATACTATTTATTTTTTAAAAAAAATCATATTAGTGATCCACAGGATTTAAAATTATGAATTTAGTGGTCCCTGAGGTCCGAAAGGTTGGCGACCCCTGAACTAGATGATCCATATGGTCATTTCCAACTTTATTAATCTATTGTGAGGCAGGAGGAATGGAAGGAACTGTAAGATTATTGTGGAAAAAGAAAAGAAGCAATGATAGGAGAGTAGTCAAATAGTCCTCTCCCCATATCCTCTGGATCCTTGTAAAGACAGCCATCCTGCCTTATTTTCAGAGGCAAATGTCCGCATTAGTAGAGCCTTCTGAGACTTTCAGGTGATCCCTGAGAATAAGAAGGTGATTCCTTTTAACTCCTCCTCACTAGTCCTTTTCCATCTCTATGGTATTTCAAAAGAGAAAAAACTTTCCACATGTTTGGCTAGCCTGTAAAACTGATCATCCGGATAAGATACCATATCATCACTGAGGATATGGTAAATACAATTATGAAGGTTTTTTTTAAAAAAAAAAAAAAGCAGAAAAGCTTACCTGAAGTTGCATAACAACATAGTTAAACTTCTCATTCCTTCCACAGCCAATAAATCTGCAAACATGATCTTTACCTGCAAAATGTAAATTCCATGCTCAATCAATCAGAATGCAGTTAGCTTGCCACTATCATCTTATAAGAGGTGTTTTTCAAAGAGTCTTCCAGAATCCTTGTGACTTCTAAGTACAAAGCTCAAGGGACCACACACACACAAACATGAACCCACTAAAAACCTCAGACATCCAGGATTTCTTTGGTTTCCTGAATCATTCCATGTAGTTTGTACACTGTACTCTGCTCTACCATATAACCCTGAGCTTCTTTTTTTGCCCTATTTTTATCTTCCTTTCTGAGAATGAGCTGTTTGCCTTAATTGTTATCTTCGGAAAAAACACCTGCCAATTCCACCTGGTTCTATCCAAGCTATTTTTACCTGATCAATTTTAAGCTATGTCAGTGGTCACTGGAATCACATCCTTATTGTCCATAGATCGAAATCAGTATCTGAAGTAATCAAGCAAGGGGAACTCATAGGAAACAGCTACTAAATTATAAATTCTAAATACTGATTATTTCCACTTTAACCAAACAGTTTCATACCTAAATCCCCTTGCTAAACTCAATCTCTACTGAAAATCCCCACAAATCACTATCAGAATTTCCATTTAGAAATCTATTTTCATGTCTCTTTCTGGGTAATTATGTACTCTGAACTGTGCTTAAGCAGTTTCAAGTGTTTCAGCTCATTTGAATTTAGATTAAAAAAAAGACTGTAAAATGTAGCCCGAATACATAGTATCTTTTTATAGTAATTCTTGGTGAATATACTTCAGTTGAACCTGTACTGGGACTTACAGTTAGCTCTTGCTGTCTTTTTTTTTTCTCTGAATTAAAAACTTTTGCTTTGCCACCTCCCCATTACTCCAGCTATTGGTTTCCTCCAATCAGCAAAGTTGGACTGTTACATGATTTCCCCAGCAATGCCCCTTTTAGTTTGGAAAGTGCTATTTGACTATTTCCAGAGGGCCTATAATCTGGAATGATATCATGCCCTCCCTTCACCAATCCTTGAAGGCTGATACAGGAAAATTCTCTTCCAAGAAAGGCAATGCCCCGTGACTCTGGACATACAGAATCAACGGAGAATGTGCTCCACCAAGGCTTGTGCTATAGAGACATTGGCACTACCCTCATCTCACTAATACTGTATAAACACCCATAGGACAAATAGGGTGCAGAGCACAATTTTATACCTCTCTGCTGCTTGCAGACAGTAATCCTGTTACAAGATAAGTATTGCAGATTCTGTGCAGCAGCAATTAAAATCTGTCAGATGATGGATGACCTGTGCCTCAGACCAACCTTAATATTTAACTTCTTAGTATTTAGTATTGTGATAGATTTCTGAGAACGAGCCATATATTAACTTTTATGTTTCTCCATTTTTAATTAATGTCTTTGCCCCTTTTTATAGATTTTTTAAAAGATTGGTGTGGGGTTTGTATGTATGTATATAAGCTTTTTTAAATGTTTTTTAACCATGTGTATTTTATATTGTTTAGTGCTTTAAATTGTTTGTATCCCACTCTTCTTTTGCTGCTTATAACCATAATAAAGATTGGATTATATTTGACTACTTTTTTCTCATTTTCACTTTTTCAAATAACATGCGTGTCCATAAGAGAGAGAGGCATAGTAACTAAGCCACTTACTCTTCTGTACATATATAAATATTTATTTATCCATATGCAAAGCTAGCAAATAACTTTTTGACTTTTATTGAGTGTAAGGGCAAATGTTTACTTAAGGTAGTAATTCTTCATCAGTTAAGAGTCTGAATGAGATTTTGTCTAATTGTTTTCCAAGTAAGTACTTATTGCCCAGGCTGATGAAACACATGCCATAAATCAAGTATTTGTAGATCACATATCTGGAATGAAGTACAAAATATAAGTTCCTGGCCAACTGCATATTTGCAGAACATAACATATAGGACACTAGTGTTATGTTTTATGTTCTTGGTATTATAATATATGCTGCAGTAACAAAAGCACTCCCTTCAGACTAAACCAGAGCATGTAGTTCTCTTGGAAGTGCAGGAAAAAATATTAATAGTGCATCTCCATAACATAGCTTACCTTGTCTAAAAGAGCTGCTTTCTCTGACAGGGTTCCAATTATTGGGGCTTTGGATATGAAACATGAAATGTCCAACAGAAAATTATAATCTTTCCTGACAAGCTACAATTAATGTAGCTCTTTGTAAAAAAAAACTGTGATAATTAAAATTGTATTAAAATCATTTGACATTGCAATATAAGAATTTAACTGAAAAGAAACATTGGATCTCAAACAAAGCTGTATTTTATGTTTAAATATGGTATATTGTCATGTATTAACACCAAACAGATAATAATGCAATCAAACTCTATAAACCTCCATACACTTTCCAAAATAATTATATCTCCTACCTTGTAGTTTTTTTAGAACAGCCACCTCCATCTTGAGGACTTGCTTTGGTTGCTGAGCTGACTCAACCTTCAGAGCTACATTCTCCCGAGTTAAAAGATCCATTGCTTCATAAATCTCACCAAAGCCACCACCACCAATCTTCTTCAACTAAATGGGACACAAAATCATCACAGTATTTAGCAATTAGGGAAATTCCACAGTTTACCTAGAAACCTTTGAAAAAAAGTACTAAGCCATGCAATATTGTTATATTGGATATAACTAAAAAGTGTATTTAAAGACACAAAACCAAAACCAAATAGTTGGTCTCTTAGGAATAATATGTGTAATAATAGACTTTAGCAAATATGGGCTAATAAAATCCAGGAAAGATATTAAGTGGCAGTAGATACAGAAAATTAAATAAAATTAAATGTACATTTAATAAATCATTAACATTTGTACCCTTTGCTATCAAGGCAACTTGAGTTAAAAGTAAAAGCAACCAGAATGCAAAAGATATAAAAATGAAATGATATTATGGGGAAGCATATTAAAACAGTTTTACCATTTTACGTAAGTCATCACTTGATGGAACCACAAAACATCATGGCCTACAGCCTATTCAAAATCCTTTCTAAATGCCTCTAAATCAAAGCAGAGATAGGGCTTAACAAACTTCTGGTAGAACTGGATTCCAGACAGCAGGAACAAAGAAGGATGTCTCCATGATCCCATAAGATTGGTACATGCTTATTGTGTTAGATCTTATGAGACAACCAGAAAGGCAATCCAATAACCAGACTCCAAGTTATGTTACAGATATCAATTAGCAATTTGAATTGGTAACCAGCTCAGAAAGTATAGGTATCACATGGGCATATTGATGTATGCCCATAACTGCTTGCAAATTTGCATTCTCTATTAGATTCTGACTGATCAAGAGCAGCTCCATCTATAGCGCATCCAGGCGGCAGGCAATTGAGGCATAAGATACCATGAACAAGTTCTGCCGATAGAGGAGAAGGGTAGAAAATGGCACATTTTCTATTCAAAAGGCATCTGGCTATTGATAGCTTTTGCTCTTCCAAGAAAAGCCATCAGTTCCAAATGCACACCAGTTCTGCCTCAGAAATTCTACACAATGGAGAACTAAAAATGGAAAATCCCAGGCATACCTGATCCCAAGTCATTCATTTTTATTAGAATTAAAACTAAATCGATTCCTCCTCATCGAGTGGCTAACAGCCTCCAGACACTGAGACATCATTTCCACAGTCAGTCAGATGGGGCTCCAAATATACAACTGGTAATCATCTAGCAAAGTGATGATACCTGAATCCATGTTATCAAATTAGCTCCCCAAGCAGTCTCATTAGATATTAAATAGAAGAGGAAAGAGCACAGATCCCCTCCCCCTCCACTGATACCAACTTCAAAGAATGCAAAATAGTGTCTCCTTCTCCCAAAGTCCAGAAGAATACCATGATTGATGGTAATGGTCATTAAGAGGTCAAGCAGGTCCAGGAGAGTGGTATCATCTCTGTCCCAGTGCCACAAGATGTATCCACAAATAAGAACAATGTTTTTCAGCATTATATCCTGGCATGAAACTTTACTGAAAAGGGTCAAGATAATCTATTTCTTGTAGATCTTTGCTCAAAAGGAGAAGTGGAAAATTGCCCAATATCACTGGATCTAGTAAATATTTGTTAAGGTGAGAGCACATCACCACCTTTTTCCGGCAGGGAGAATCCCATTATTCAAGGATTAAATCACTTCCACTTTCCCTCCAGAAGATTTTTCCCAGATGACCTTGACTAAGTAAAAGAGGCTTGGATCTAACGGAGAGTGAGCACCCTAAAAGCCCTGAAAATTTCCTCTGCTTTCTCAAGTTTTACAAGCGTAAACTACTCCCAGTTAATGGATGAAAAATTGTCCTAGTAACCCCAGTCAGAGTCCTCTTTCAAAGAGATCTGAGGGATTTTATTCATCAAGGGCCTAGCATAATCTTTGCAAAGTAGCATGCATTAGCCTTTAGGATATGGTATTCCTCTGACCATGGTAATGATCAACTTAAACATGCTAATCAGAAACAGATCAAAGAGATAGTGGAGCTTCAAGTCAAAATAATTTGGATGCAAGATTCATTCTTCAAAAATAGTGAGTTTTCTTTTAAGCAGAGTGAGAGTAGTCCCTAGAGGTATTTATGGAAAAGTTCTTTTTTGAACTTTTTTTCATTGCCATCTGAATGAGATCTGAAAATAAAATCTAGCTAATATAGGGATTTTCACTCTTATTCAAAATTGAGGATTAATTATATTAATATTTTATATTTAATTATATTAATTATAAAAATTCTGCAAGGTAGAATTTTGCAGTTCTCCCAACAATCATCTTTGTATTATACTAGAATGAGGATTTTTCCTGACCTGCCTCTGTACATAATTAACAAACACAAGAATTTAGTGAGGAAGTTTTATTTTTTTATCCAGCAATTTTTGTTTACTGCTAGATATAATAGATGGGGATTATCTAGAAAAAATACCTCTTAAGAGTTAATGTCTGCTTGATAACATATAATCAAATAATCAAAACCAGATTTGGGAGCCAATATATATCTTCTCAAGTGGGGATCAGAAAAAATAGATTGAATAAATAATAAATTAATAAATGTAATTTTAATTGCAGATGATCTCCCTAACCAAAGGATAACTATCTATTACATTGCAGAATATGCCTCTGAAGTTCACAGTTTTCTTTTAAGGTTTTTTTTTTTACCTTTGAAAATGTTTGTTTCTATGTTTTTAAATTAATATTTACGCATTTTGCTATTTTTCTAAGCACTTTTTGGAGTACTAAAAATGTATTGGTGTGGGACTGTTTATTCCATTTTCCTTGATTTGATTTAATGATTTATGAAAATGCATACAGTTTTTATAGGTATTTGTTACTTTTAACTGTTTCCTATTTTAAGACGCTAGATATCTAAGAGGAGAAGGATTTCTTAAAATTAGTTTAACCTAAAGCTGATTATTTTTTAATTTTTATTTATTTATTTTTTTAAAAGTATATGAGATTAATTCAGCCAAGCATGGCACTTTCAGGAAATCCTTAACTTGTATTGCTGCCAACTTACTCCTTCAGGGAATGAATGAACGCAGAAAAGAGTCAACTTCTTTGAACTGATAATAAGTAAATGGGAAGTGTTAAAAAATAGAAATAGCATAGTATAAATAGAATACTAGGATTCTTGATTTCAAAGAAAACTAAAGCTGACTGCAATCAAACATAGCTTTGATTTTTATATAAAAAAGAGATTTTAAATAATTAAATGATTTAAAGGTGTTCAAGATTAGTTGGAATTCCGAAAGAAACTAAACTTTAGCAATTCCAGTGAGGAGATTTTTTAAGCACATTAGAATAAATCAGTGCCTATTCATTTAGTGAAAATCTGAATACCAGAAATGCTCAGAGAGGCAATGAAAAGATGATGATCTTATATGCAGAGAACATGAAGTGGTAGCAATTTTGTCAGAAAAAGTAAACGCTCAGAAAGAACCAAGGATCAAGAATGCTAGGAACAACAAAAGAAACTACTTCAAGTTTGTTATAATAAAAGGAAGAGATTATAAATTTCAAAATTCCCTTCAAATGGAATTGAATTATAATTTCATATATATTAAACAATGTCTGCATTTTTAAAAGAATGTATGCTACAATGGGTGGCAGAGATGCAATCATGACCAAAGTTTCTTGGGACAATTTTTAGATACCACATCAAGATAAACAGACAACTAAACACAAGTTCAAAGCAAATAATTCTATAGAAGAATCCATCTAGGATTAGAAAACAAAACTTGCCATTTTAAATAAACTGAAGATGTTTTGTACAATGTCCACAGTTTAGTTTAGTTATCTTGTGTATCTTCTTAACCTAACTTCACTGCACCGTTTACTTGGGTTTTTTTAAATTATTGCATTTATTTATTTTTTAGCTGCCCAGACCAAAATATTTAATAAATAAGTAAGTATAGTTTATATCTCTATCTCTACATATAAGTACAAAAAATATTTCTTATTACACTAAGTACCTTTACACAGCAGTTCCATTCTTTATAGCAAGTAATAGGTGCCACAAAAAAAAGACCTGACCTACTTTTACTTCTAAGTATTAAGTACAACCAGTGGTGGGATTCAATTTTTTTACTACTGGTTCTCTGGGCATGGCTTGGTGGGCGTGGCATGGCTTGGTGGGCGTGGCTTGGTGGGCGTAGTAGGGAAGGATACTGTAAAATCTCCATTTCCACCTCACTCCAAGGGAAGGATACTGTAAAATCTCCATTCCCTCCCCACTCCAGGGGAAGGTTACTGCAAAATCCCCAGAGAATAGATGGGGGTGGGGCCAGTCAGAGGTGGTATTTACCGGGTCTCCAAACTACTCAAAATTTCCACTACCGGTTCTCCAGAACTGGTCAGAACCTGCTAAATACCACCTCTGAGTAAAACCCATAAATGGCCCGTGATGAGTTAAGTGATGCCGGGTCCTCCCTCTCTCTGGAACATCATTCCCCCAGAGATTAGAATGGCCCCCACTCTAACACTCTTCCGGAAGGCACTGAAGACCTGGTTCTGCCAACAGGCCTGGGGAACCCAGAGCAGGATGGAGCCCATTAAATGGCTCATGTGATCTGCTCTTGACAGGGAGGGGGGGTGGGAGATGATTTTGTTATATTGTACTATATTAATTTATTTGATTCTTTTTGTTAGTTTTTATTGTTTGAAATGTTTTTATATTCTGTAAGCCGCATGAGTCGCCATGGGTGAATAGGCGTCAATATAAATTCAATCAATCAATCAATGCAATAGAGGCATCATATAAAGCATTCTGCATTGCCAATCTAGGAATAAACACTGTGACCTAAAGTAGATTGAGATTTGTTACATTTTACATTCATTCATTATTTATTTATTTATTTATTTATTATATTTCTATACCGCCTTTCTCCCGTAGGACTCAAGGCGGTGTACAGTCAAGAAAAATATAGACACACAAACATCATAAAATTGCTAATTAAAATTATTACTTAGTTTGGTCAATTAAATAAAACCCAGAATTAGATAACATTTAAAAAATCATTCACATGTTTGTATGTTTAGCCCTGCCT